TTATGGTGTTTTTATTGGCAGGGGAGTGGGAGTGCAATACAATTTTAGCCATTCTGATGTCTCTATCTCCCTTACATCCCACCTCCATTTCTAGAGCAGTTTATTTCTTCTAATTACATGATTCCTCAAACGGCACAAGGGACTTTCTGTACCTGAGATGGTACAAGTTAAGCTAGAGGGTCTTACTGAGCTGGGCCAGGTGTGGGCAGTTCTGATGATGACCCTACGTCTCCACCACCATCACCAAAGCCAGCCCACACCAGCTGTGGGCAGCAGGATCTCCGTGCATACAGCAGAAATGGGGTAGAGCCAAGATCTGCATGGAGCTCAGCTAGGATGAACTTGAGCATGAAGAAAGATGCATTTCACACCAAGATCTGCAGGGAGCCCAGCTCTTGGGCACGAGCAGGGTCAGTAAGCAGCCGAGCTAGCAGCACTTTTTGTGATCATTTTAGAAAGACCCTGTTGAAGATCGGAGCGAATCCCCAGAGCTACCGAGTCCAAGACCACCACTTGGTTATGCTCCGCTTCTCAAAGCTAACACAAATCTCTCCCACCTCCCATTGGCACTATCCACTGGATCACCCAACCCTTTACAAACAAACCCAGAGAACGCTTTTGTCTCTTCCTGTCCTTTTCAGATATTTCGGGTACTTGTGGCATCTCTCCTGTTTATATAACAAAGCCACAGCCCAATGTTTGTGACACCATATCCATGGTAACCCTAATATAGCATGCACAGGCGACTAGATTTCATTAGGTGCCTCAGCTGCGGCAGCACCGGGGAGGGAACTTCTCCGGGATGCTGAGCTGCACAAGCAGCCTGGTGGGAAGGGGACTGGCCACCCCCCTGGCCTCACCCGCTGGGCACGGCAGCACCTCCCAAAGAGCAAGCGATGCTCTCCTTTTGCTCACTTTGATCTTTCCCCTGCTCTCCCTTCACCAGCTCACCACGGCACGGTGCTGGGTGTCTGAGTGTCCCATCTCAGCTGGCACCCAGGACATCTGTGGGTTGAACAGCAACTGGGGCGGTCACACATGGAGATCCCTGTGCAGTCCCGTGCAGAACAATGCAGCTCAGTGAGAACCACCCCAAACCATGCACGCTGTGGCCCAGCAAGGCCCAGGTGACTGAGACATTAAATACTCACCTGGGGAAATGCAAACTCAGATTTGCAGCCCCAGCACCATCCTGTTGCGTGATGAAGCCAACGAGCATCCTGCAGATCCCTTCTGGTTTGTTATGGGAACAGGACTGAGCAAAGCGATCCTTTTGACAGGATAAACAATTCTCCTGACCCTGGGACATATATTGAATAGCTCCTGCAATCTATGGGGCTGGTCCGGGCTCCAGGGCTCTGGTATGAAGGGTGAAAGGTGTCTCTGGCCAGAGAAATTGCACACAGCATCAATTGGGGCAGGGGTCCCTGGAACCCCACTCAATTGCCCAGCCATGTGAGCATCTCCCCCACGTGCCAGCCCCCTCTTCCCCTTCTCATACTGTGTCGGATCCAGCCTGAGTCAGACACTGCCTAACCTCATCAGCACCGAGGCAAATTTGATCCTGGCGCTGGCTGGGCACGGACGGGGGCTGCGAACGGCAGAGCCCCCGAGGCACAGAGCTGCACTGGCCATGCGGGAGCAGACAGCAAGCTTCCCTTCCCTCCCTGCCCTCGCCCAAATTGAATTTCCATTTCTGTTAGCGAGGCAATGGATTATAGCTCGGAGGGGTGCTGCCTGCTTCAATCCCTAATTTGGTTCATCAATTGTGTTTAAACCCACTTACCTGTAAGTCCGCCTCTGTTCCAGGCAGGCAGCCCTCGCCTCCTGCCCGTGCAGGCAGCTGCTTCCCTGAGCTCTCTGCCACAAATGTCAGGGCACTGCTGCTTTCAGGGCTCTGGAAACCACAGCTTATCTGCCTTTAGGACTGGTTTTGCATCCAGGACCGTCAGTGGCAATGAAAGGCCAGGGCAGTTTTAGCACATCACCAGAAGGGTTTGGACGTGCAGCTCAGCAGAGGACGGGGCCATCGGCACCCAGCGGGGGATGAATGATGCTGCCCGGGGTTGTGTGACATCCAGCACAGCCCAGCTAGGGCCTGGGGGATGCATCTGAGCACTGTCCATTAAAAACAGCCCTTCTCCGGGGCTCAGAGCATGCTCTGGGTATTCCCTGTGCATCACTGCACCCTTGGCTCTTCTCTGCCGGGGGGCTGGCAGGGGCTGCCTGGAGCGGGGCAGGGGGTGTGCAGGGATACCTGGATCTCGTCTCCAGCACAGGATACTCCTGTGCTAGCACCAGCAGAATCGTGCCGGTATTAGCTCCAGCAAGAGCTCACAGGTGGGCAGAAAGCTGCTGCCGCTGCTCTGCCTTTGAGGAAAGGGGCTGGACCCCCAGCTCTCCCCGGCCCCCCCCCCGCGCCCACCAGCCCGCCCATGGGAAGCCGCTCTCCATCAACCCCGAGCGGTCAGGGTTTCAGAGTCAGGAAACTGGCGTTTCTACATCTCATTGAAGTCTTAAAATAAACACCCAGAGCAATGAGTGGAAAGCTGGATCCTCGCTCCTCGCCTGGATTTATGAGCAACGACTGAGAAGAAACTGAAAGGGGGGAGAGAGATATACATAATTTTTCTGTCTTTAAATAAATTCTCACTGCTTATCTGCAAAGTTCAGCTGTTTTCAAGCTGACCTGCCTGTGTTATGCTGTTCCACCGCAAATTCCTTCTGTACAGGAACGCTCCGGAGCTCCGCTTGCACACGCCAGCAACCTGGGGCTCCATCTCTAATAGACGGAGGCAGAACGCGTCAGCTGAGGACCTCCTCCCGCCCCCCGGTGAGGACCGTTGTTTCCCTTCCTGCCATGCTGGCAGCTCAGCTTCCTTCCCTTTACAATAGGGAAACAAAGCCAAGAGAGAAGTGGGTGAATCTGTGCCTGGAGGAGGTTAGAAATGGGGCAGGGCAAAAAATCTGTTCCCGGGTGCTTTTGTACCGCAGCCAGACATCTACCCAGGGACCCAGGGCTGGAGGACGAGGGACATCCATCTGACACTTTCAGACAAGGATCTCGGAGCACAGCGTGTCCAGGAATGAGCCCAGGAGCCTCAAGCAAAGGGGGGGATGCTGCCTCCTCCTTCGGGAAGATGAGTGGAGCTGTGGATCAGGGGTTCGGTTCCCACCTCCTGCAAGCACAGCCCTGGGAGTTGGCAGGGTGGGAGCTTCCCAGGTGGCTCTAATGACCTCCAGCACATTGAGCTATCCAGACACATGCTTTTAGAGTTGACAGCAGCAGCAGCGGGAGGGCTGGTGCAGGGCTGGGCTGGGCACTGGGATCACTGGTGTGGGACATGGGATGGACTCGTTTAGGAAAGCTCAGCTCTCCGGCTTTCTCTCTGCTTTGGCCTTTTGCCCAGCAAAGCTGAATGAGAGGCCAAACCCTCTAACCAGCAGGTCACCCACCAAGGAGAGATGCTCGGGATCAATTACCATGCTCTTGGTTAATGGTTGTGTCTTAGGACAGTAAAACCTCATCAGATTTAGCGTGGGGATGCACACACTGATGATTCATTAAAACACCCGGGCACTGAGCTGAGTCTATTTCCTCTCATCACACAGGGCTAGGAAACGTGGAGCTGCTCCCGTGACATTGCTGCAAGGAGCGCGAGTGAAACCCAAAACCCAGAGGGGACCGGAGGGGACTCCGCACAAAAGGCATCTGAGAGCATCACTTGTCACGTGAACCACCATTAATAAAACAAGACCACAAACTCCAAGACTAAAGCAAGGCAGTGTGTGTATATCAAAGAGCTTGAGGCAGTTCATTATAATTCCAATTAATGTAGAAAAGTTAATAACCAAACGAGAATACGTCAGGCTTTAAGCAAATTAAAAGAGGGAGATGGAGAGACAAAAGGTATCTTTAAACTGGAGCCAAAGTCCCAGCTGCTACAAAAGCAAAGAAATAACAAATATTTAATGTCTGCAAAGGTCCAGACAGGCAGGAGCTTCAATGGGAGACAAACCGGGGTGGGAGAAGAGCTGGACTTTGCATGGGAATCCTTATTTTTCTGAAATGCTGCACTGGGTCCAGAAATAAAACACTCAAAGGGGAGGAGAGGAGAGGAGAGGTTTCATTTCTGTGTCTCTGGGGGAAATCAGCATTTTCTCTGGCATTTAGCATTGCAGGAAAAATACTTCAAACATGTCAATACTACTTAATGCCTGGGAGCTCGGACAAGGCCCTGCTCGCGATCAGGGCTCCTTTGTGCTAATCGCATCATTAGAAAGCAGGAGAGCAAATCTCAAAGCCTGCAGCACCTCCCGTTTGCCTTCCTGTTCCTGAGATACTCAACCTCATGGGATAATTATCTAAATAATCAGTGTGGGGCGGATATGTCCCATCCCAGAGTAATGTCATTTGAAAAGAGGAGCACGTGCCAGTGTTGGCCACCTGGTGCTAAACTCTTTGCCCCACTAATGAGAAACTCCCAGGAGGACAACGCAAGCAGACAGGGACATCCACCCACGCTTGGGTCACCACGTCCTCAGCAGCTGCAGGACGAGAGACCCGGGGCAGCACCGCTGGGAACTGTGGCTGGGATTTCTCCTGGGGCTATCTCGGAGTTTTTGCCCCTTGGAGCAGAGGCAGGGCTGGTTGCAGAGCCGGGCGAGAGGCATGGCAAGCAGGGCAGAGCATGTCCACACAGGGCTCACCGAGAGCAGCTTGTGAGTAAACAGCCCTTTCCAGCCGCTAAGGAAGATTTAAGAGCAAATAACATCAGGCCAGTCGAATTCAATTGCTATTGATAATGTCCATGTGCAATTAGAGCCAATTAAGGAGAGACAGCAGATGACAAGTGCTTGGCCAGGAGGTGGGGGGGGTCAATACAACAATCCAATTTCCCAACAACCAAATGCAATTAAAGAGTATCACTTACCCGGCTTGCCCAGGAGGGCCAATGCATAAATGGGCAAAGCCAGGCGCGGGTGCCGTCCTCCCCAGCATGCAGACCTCCGGGAGCAAGCCCTGCCCCTGCCCCAGCTTCAAGCTGCGGGAGGTGGCATCCATGTACTTCACCATGATCGCCGTGTTCTTGGTCATCTTGGTGGTGGCCCTGCAGGGCTCGGTGCCTCGCGGGAGAAAACCCCTCGATCCCGAGGGGCTGCTGGAGCTCTCCTGGAATGTCAGCTATCCCAAGCAAGCCGTGCACTTCCAGCTCCTCACCAGGGACCTGCAGTTCGGGCTCCTCTTCGGGATGTCGGACAGGGGCGAGTTTGAGAACGCGGACCTGGCCGTGCTCTGGAGCGACGGGCACAATTCCTACTTTGGGGTGAGTCCCTTGTATGTTTGCATGGTTACTTTTGGGGTTGCCTCCCCGTGGGTGCATCTGGCTCATGGTTTGGAAGACTGGAGCTGGTCCAGGGCACGGCGCATGCTGGACCGCTCCCGCTGCTCGGGTGGAAGGGGTCAGAAAGGGCTTGGGGGTTTCTATTGCAGAGGGACCCACAGATCAGGTCTACACTAGGGGTTTGGCATGGGATCTTAAACCCAAAGAGAAAGGAATAAATACAGTTGCACATCAGCAAGGCTGAGCAGAACCAAAACCCGGACGTCTCTGCTGTGCCCAGCTGCAAAGAGCTGCAACGGGTGGTTGTACAGCCCATCTCACGCACACACACACATGCAGGATGCATCAATAACTTGGTTCACTTGCGTGCTGTCAGTCGCATTAAAAATTAACCACAGCTCCCGTTAATGACTTTGAGAAAAGTGCACCATCCAGAAAGGCTGCTCCTGCCAGCACCAGTATAACCCAGCTGCGAGTCGCCTTCGAGACCACCGGGACCCAGGAGAACACAGCCCAACGGCTGCCTGCCAGCGGCGCGGGGTTATCAGAAATCAAACATGCAGATGGATTGGGGCGGTAGGCGAACGCCTGGTGGTAGCAGATCTGGTGGGGGGGACTAATTTCTAGTTTTGCTGTTTGATATTTGCTGTCCTTCCCGACACAGCCTGTTTGTCCTGGTTTGGTCTTTCCACCAGGGCAGACGTTACAGTAACTACCCCTGTGCTCTCTCTATCCCCACACCACCACGTTGGGCTTATTGCCATCGCGCTTGGCTGCAGAAAGCCATTCACATTTTTCCCCATGTGAGGCTTTCCAGTAAGTTAAATTTTACCTCTCTGCTTACTTCAAATTAACCATAAAACACATTCTTTCACAATCAGCCGCAATGTGATCTGCAGAGTAATGAAAGGATGAAAAGGAGGGTTTATTAGCTGCACTGTTTTCCTGCTAATTACCAGCCACTCTGGATGCATGGTGGCCTGAATGCTACAGTATTTCACAGCATCACGTTAAAAGAACCTAAAGGATCATTTCTAATCCACCTTCATGTGCTCACTGAAAGGCAAACACCGGGCAGCGTTTGGGCTTTCTCTTTCCGTTGGTGCTGAACAGCATCCTGCAAGGAGATTTCTATAAATCTCTCCAGTCCTGGTTTTCTCTCTCCCAGCAGCCTTGCTTCTGGATAAGTATGTCAGCTGTTAAAAAGATCCAAATTTGCTTAACCCCCCATGTACTACAAGATTAATTTGCACACCATATTCCTATAAAAACAAATGTCATGCTAGCTTCATGGAGCTGATTTTATTCTCCCCCTCTGAGGACAATATGTTCTCAAAATATCGCTCTATACTTCTGGCTGAAGTGATGCCAAGATGCTTTATTCTTTTTCTGCTGTTTTTTTTTTTTCCCCAAGATAAGAGAACCGATGCCACTTGTGTACCTACAGCAAGGTACTTCTTAGGTGCCTTGTCTCAGTAAACAAAAGATATCAACAGGAGTTGCAAGAGATCAAGACAACAACACTGTTCAAATCCAAATTATTGCAGGATTTTATACTCCAAACCTTCAAATCCTTAAGCACAGGAGTAACCTAATGCTTTGCTTCTCAATGTGGCTTTGTCACCATCATCAACAACGAGTGGTTTTTGGGAGGCCTTGCTGGGCTGCCAGAACAATCTAGTCTCAACAAATTAAGGATTTTGAAGAGGGGCAGCAATTTCTAGAGCTGACATTCCAGCCCAGCAAGGGTCTGATCTTAAATTGAGAGCAGCTGGTTTGTGGCAAGGGTCTTGGAAAGCACATCGCCCACTCCCAGAAGGTGCCCCCAGCCCAGTACACCCAAACCACCGCACAGACCAATGCAACACCTTCCCGTGTCCCTGGGGGCTTTCCTCCCCTTGCATCTCAATTTCTGCACAACATTAATGCTGGGTCACGTATTTCACAAGTCTGCCCATGTCCATCCATGGGCCACCACCAAGGGTCTTGTGGCAGGGGCCGTGCCGGCATGGCTGTGCCCAGAGGATGGGAGGGTGGCATGGGGCAACCAAAACATGGGCTCCCTCCACCCCTGGGATACGGAGGGTGAACCAACTGGAGGGTGAGCAGAATGAGAATCCCAGGATCCGCGGTACTGCTGGAGGTCCCCACCGTGGGCTCCTCCTGGCTTAGCGGGATGCTCTTCCTCCCGCAGGATGCCTGGAGTGATGCCAAGGGGCAGCTCCACATGGACTCGCAGCAGGACTACCAGCTCCTCGGGGCTTGGAGGACTCCTGAGGGCTTCTACCTCCTCTTCAGAAGAGCCTTTAGCACCTGTGACCCCAAGGACTACCTTATAGAGGTACAGCATCACCCTCACCCGCTATAGCGCTCCCCAGCCCCGTCCCAGTCCTGGGGCACAGCTCCAAACCCCAACCTGCATGGTCACACCTCGCCGGTGTTTTGTTCTGGGGACAGCATCAGGCGCCTGCACTGTCTAGGGCAGAAGGGAAGCGTGCTACAGATGTCAGCCCTGGGACATGAGTAATGTTTGGCTCGGTCTATTTACAACCCTTACAAACCTCTATGAAGTGTAGATTTTAGCTCGTTCGCATCATCCACTCCTGTTAAGCATGTGTCAGGTCTATATAAATACCCTCCTGCATCACTCTGGTTTGCAGTCTCGAGCCGACTGTTTGGAGTGTTACAAAGAGGTGTTGGTGGTGTTCAACGGGAGGCAAAGAGGAGGGTTTTGTCAGGAGCCAGAGCAAAGGGATGGCAAATAGAGCCGCGGTGGTGTGTGCGTGTGTGCGGTTTGGTGAAGTCTCTCCGGGTCTGCATTCACCACTCCCCTGTGAGATGGGATTTGGGGGAAAACTTCCCAGTGGGGAAGTCGAAGAGCTTCGGGATTTCAGCCATGGGCCCTGGGTGCGAGCAGGAATTGGCACAAGGCTCATTTCAGATGCAAGCCTTTGATGGGCAGGATATTTTAAAGCCAACGTGGGCACAGAGCATCCTTGAGTTTTTGTTGCTGGTTTTCAAAAGCTTGTCTTGTGGTGAGAAACGTCTACTGTCTGCCAAAACACAGAGAGACCTGGAGGAAAAAAAAAAAAAAATCTGTGTGTGAACCAGGAAAAGACTTGCCGGTCTTTGTTCTCTGATCCTTTAAGAAAAAAATATTCTCTTGTTCCTTTCTTCCTTATCTCCTTTCCCAAGCTCACTGGGTTCAG